TCTTGGAGTTCAACCCCGCCAAATGCAAATTCATGAAGATTGGGGAAGGTCAAAGACCTCAGACAGAATACAGCCTAGGGGGTCAAAGACTACAAACCTCACTCAAGGAAAAGGATCTTGGGGTGAGTATAATACCGAAGATATCTCCTGAGGTGTACATCAACAAAATAACTGCTGCAGCATATGGGCGACTAGCAAACCTAAGAATAGCTTTCCGACATCTCAATAAAGAGTCGTTCAGGGCTCTGTACACCATGTACGTCAGGCCTATATTAGGGCACGCAGCACCAGTTTAGAACCCACACCTGGGCAAGCACGTCAGGAAATTAGAGAAGGTGCAAAGGCTTGCAACGAGACTAGTCCCGGAGGTAAGGGGCATGTCCTACGAGGAGAGGTTAAGGGAAATTGACCTTACGACACTGGAGGACAGGATTAACAGGGAGAACATGATAACGACATATAAAAAGACTCAGATGAGTTACAAAAATGTTAGGAAGTATTTCTTCAGTCACGGTTGTCAGGCAGTGGAATAGTATGGAAAGTGAGGTGGTGGAGGCAGGATCCATACATAACTTTAAGAAGAGGTATGATAGAGCTCACAGAGCAGGGAGTGACACAATAGCGACCAGTGAAGCGGGACCAGGAGCTATGAATCGACCCTTGCAACCACAATTACGTGAGTGCGCGCACACACACTCATGAAAGGAGGGATGGTAGTTGTGAGTGCTCTATTCATAATACATGTCTTCAACATTTTTATTACTTTATGCGTGAGATTCAAGATGAAGGAGAAAAAAGGAATAATAATAACAACAACAATAATAATAATAATAATAATAATAATAACAATAATAATAATAATAATAATAATAAGAAGAAGAAGAAGAAGAAGAAAAAGCAGCAGCATATATGGGCAACACAGATAACAGAGGACACAGAGCCTGTATGATGACTACTATCTACTCTCTACATTAAGGACTATCGTGTATTATCTATGAGCACGAGACATGTTTAGAAAAGCAGAAGGCTCTCTCCCTACCCTTAGCCGGCCTCAAAAAACAGGGAAGGAAATATACCACACCACATCGAAAAACAGCATGGAGTTTAGAGGAGAGATGGAACTTGATGGAAAACGAGGACAATACACGACGTCAACTAATATAATTTTGGTTCTATCTCACTACTCCATTGCCACCACAGAGCTGTGTGTACCGGTAAGCTTTCTCCTGATTACGACAATACACGACGTCAACTAATATAATTTTGGTTCTATCTCACTACTCCATTGCCACCACAGAGCTGTGTGTACCGGTAAGCTTTCTTCTGATTACGACAATACACGACGTCAACTAATATAATTTTGGTTCTATCTCACTACTCCATTGCCACCACAGAGCTGTGTGTACCGGTAAGCTTTCTTCTGATTACGACCAGTTCTGTCAAGGCTATCACAGTCTTCTACTTCTACCACTGGAACTGTTACTAAGTCAATTGTCTTGTTGTCAACTGATTTTCCCGGTGCACCCGCTGGACGAAAATCAGCCTCTGGTAACCCCTTCCACTAGGCCACGACGATCTAATTAAATCATATACTTGCAACGTGTTTGTCCTGCTTGTTCTTATATGGCGAGTAGTTTATTTCATATAATGAAGAAAAGACTATAGGGAAGCATTACAAAGCAACCAAGGGGTTATCCCTGCAAAATAAAAAAATGTATGAAATAGCGATAACATAAAAGTTTATATTTCCATTCTGTATCGCTCTTTGTCTTTGTTAAGAATAACTGAAATGAGTAAACGAACTAACCCCCCCCCCAAAAAAAAAAAATAACAGGAAAATAAGCCAGTAAATAAGGCAGTTATCTTTGTATTGCATTGTTTATGTCAACTTTATGTACTCACTACCTGGTGTTTATCGGTTATATAAAGATTAGAAGTATTCAACACCGTTGTTGCGTGTGTTCATCTCTACGGGCCGACACACGTAGCATCATTGCTCCCCAGATCTGCTAATACAATCACACGCTTTATATGCTAATGTCTATGGAATCTTTGAAGTTTCTTGATAATTGTGTGTTATTAAGTGTACTTGGCGGTCTCTTGGTTGGATAATAATACCAGCACACACTCGTAAATCCCAGCTAAATATAAGCTTGTTGCTTGGTATAATCACGAAAATGTTTATCTGGGGCAATGCGGCTCGCTGGAAATTGTATTATTGTTGGGTACACTAATAGTAGGCGGCCACCTCCGTCAACTAGTTTGTTCATAGATTCCATTCAGATATCAGTTTATAGGCTGGAAACTTGCTCCCATGAGTGCTGCCCTAAATTCTCCTCTAGTGTTTCTCTTAAACACCAGTGGTATTAAAGCCGCATTCTCTTCACAAAATCTGGATTTTTTTGTGTGAATTCTTCTAGGCAGGGTATAGCGATTTTTATTCTGCATTTTGTTGTTGCTTTATTATGTGACTATTTCCTGGGCATAATATTTTTTGATGCCTACGAATACTGTAATAAAATCACCAATAATGTTTTAATACCACGAGTACTTAAACTGCATTACTGAGTTGTTACTTATTATTGGTGTAATAACTTTCAAGACGTTTTTATTATTTTGGCTAAAAAATAATCAATGATGGGCAAATATTACTTAAAAGTGTATTAGATTAGAAATTTTGCCTGAGCCTAAATTTAAGAAAGTATTATGAGAGTTTATGGCAATGTACACAAAATGAAAAAAAAAAAAGATTTGTGGTGCTGAAGATTCACTTCTTAACTGTATTACAATGTTACTATTCTTATCATCATTATTTTCTAATATAAATTTTAGTAGTATTAATTATAATCTGTTAGCCAGTTATAATTATTATCATTATTTTTTATGATCCTTACACTATTAATTTAACAACAGGAATGCAATAAAAATAAGCTCTCAGGTTCACATGTTTGAATCGACTAAGAGCTGGAATATATTAAAACCCACTGTCATGAATACTGAGAGATAAGTGTGTTACACTTGCTCTTTGCTGATGAGACAGTACTTTTGAGAGATGCGGAAGAGAAGTTGCAAAGGTTAGTGAGGCGTCTGTGAGGGTGTGTAAAAGAAAATATAAAGGTGGTAAGTGTAAGAAAAGTCTTGACAGTGAACGACGGGATATCAGATTGGATGGCAAAGGTATGGAGTAAGTGAATTTATTTAGGCAATATGGAAGGATGAGACTTGGATGGGTTTATGAATGGTTGCAGCTCTTACTAAACTATTCTAAGTAGATTTCTCACATACGGGTTTCAGCAAATTTTTCGATTTACGTTAAGTTAGGTTAGACTGTCGTTTATTAATAAATAAAAATTGTTGTGTGCCAAATTGTCAATAAATGAAATGTTACATAACAGAGAATAAAAAACAAGTTTTGAAGAGCAAATAGAAAGGGGTAATTCACCGAACGTACTCTAAAACAGATAGTCAGATATTTACCCTCCAAGACTCTTAAACAATCATCCCTCCCACCATCTTAACAACTGTGCTGACTTTGACTAAAGGGATTGACTGATGAATGACGTCTTGAATAAAAACAATATTCGATGGAAAAAGGTGGGTGGAGTGCTCAGGCATCTGAAGAAAAACATTAGTTTATTAACTGGTGTCAAAAGTTGTCTTAGAGTGTAGTGATACTGACAGATCTATTGTATGTGTCTGAGGCATAGTTTCTAATGTTGCAGAGAGGGAGAGAAGCTGTTTTGTTGAGATCAATGTGTTTGTGAAGATTATAATAAAATTTAGAGTGAAGAATTTATAGGACGAAGCACAATTATGAAAGTTACAATATAAAGAGCAGAAGAAGGGATGTTTAGATAATTTTATCATTTAAAAATAGGTAAAGTAGAAGATAACAAAGAAGGGTATATAAATGTAGGGTAGTAGGAAGGATGGGTAGGCATCGACCCACGCACCCAGGGTGCGTGAAGATGGTTTTGAGTGGAAGAAGTATGAGCATCTAACAGGCGTGTGTGAGCGTGATAGATCGTAGTGGAGACCAGGAATTTTGGGGACTGGACGTTCTGCTGGCGTTTGAGCAAGGTGATCCAAGGACCCAATTACCCACACTCTAATTCCGGTAATTCATTATTGCAACACAAGTAATGAGCGCTTGTACTGACCCTTTCCTGATGCTGCTTCGTCACTACGTTGCCAGAAGCATCGCTGAAATTTGTAGCCGAGTATATTGGTTTAAAGATTTATGTAGCCTAACCAATCGTAACTTAATAAAAAATATAATTGTAGGTTTACAATGAATGTTAAGAAACTGACGTTGAGAATCGTGAATGGAAAAATCACCTGAAGGATAGATGGGCATGTTCTGGGGACGGGAAGTATAGTGCCTGCACTCTAAAGTATGGGTGGGTAGGTTGTAGTTCTAGACGTGGGAAGTACAGCACCTACACTCTCAAGGATGGGTAGGCATGTTGAGGTTCTGGACGTGGGTAAGTACAGTACCTACACTCTGAAGGATGGGTGAGGCTGGTGATGTTGCAGAACGCACAATGCCAGCACACTAAATGAGGAAAGGGTATATTGCAGTTCTGAAGGTGGCAAAAACCGTACTTACACGCTGAATGATGGGTGAGACTTGCGGTGCTGGAGGTAAGGAGTGTTAGGTTCTAGCAAAACAGTCATAAAATGAAAAGCCGTAAAACAACACCAAATTATATTGCAATTAAATGAGATAGGTTCCAAAATTATCAAAATTTTCCCATGTACAAATATTTTTTTTTATAAATTAAATATTTTAAAAATTTTCAACACAAAGTCAGTACCTGACCAGCCGGGCTGTGGTTCGCACGTCGGGTTGCGTGAGGCCAACAGTAACAGCCTAGTTGATCAGACCCTGATCCACCATGAGACCTGGTCACAGACCGGGCCTCGGGGGCGTTGACCCCCGAAACCTTCTCCAGGTATACATATATATACATAAAACAACAAAATAAATTTTAACTTACTTTGGACCTGTGGAGCCATTGCTTGAGTTCATCTTTACGCCATTGTCTGGTGTTGACCAGAATTATCACTTGTGTCACAGGAACGTTATTTTAGTTAATACTGTCAACCCACAACAATAATTTCTCCATTTTTTCCCCACAGTCTCACTACGTGAATAAGTTGTTCTGGAGGATGACACACTTGTTGTTCCTGCTTGTGTGCGCTTTATTTTATCATCATTGTTCATAATCGTTGATACAGTACAATCATCATCATAACTAGGCGCTAAACCCACAAGAATCATACAGTAGAAGGCACTAAACTGAACATCTTAAACACACGTGATCGACTCTCACCAGACTCCATGTGACGGATCACATCCATTTTTCTCCTCAATTATCAAGTGTTTTACGCTCTTCCTTGGCCTCCCTGACACAAGACACTGCACTACACTTACACCTCATGGCTACACAAACATTATTAATGAGAAATCACTATATGTAACTGTGTAACACGTTAACTATAGAGAATAAATTCACAAAACCAACGCGTGGCACTGAAGGGAAGCGACTCCTAATATGGCTGACATTCCTCCCACAATGCATCACCAAGAAGACAAAAGAAGCGCGTATTGTGTATTTACACTCGCATATATTACTACTATGTCTTACTGAGATGCAATTTTTCGTTATTTTCCTTTTTTAGGTAATTTTAAAAAGGCCGTTAATGTGAAAAGTCTTAAAATTGACCAACGGATCTATCTTACCTAATTACAATTTCCTCCACCAATACAATATTATAATTTGATAAGTGAAGTCTACATTTCTTCAGGGAAGCAAAATGCAGCATCAGAAGGATGATGATTTTTTTTTTGATTCACCTTATCTTGGTGGGAAACGACCAATGTGTGATAAAAAATATTTACATCACTCGCTTCCAGGTTACACGGTAACTGGGCTTTTCCCGGTCAATTAGATACTAACTCTTCCAGTCATTTCTCACTTGATCAACCTGTGTCACGCTTCATTATCCTTAAAGAAGAGAGTGATTTGTTGGGTTCTTTTATGTGCTCGTTCCTTAATCCTGCCTGTACCTGACCAAACCTCAGGTGTGTTATATTTAAGGGAAATACCTGATTGAACCACCAGGTGTATGTGTGTGTGTTATATTTAATTGATATTACTTCTTTTCTCCTGCCATTAAGCTTATTAGGTTAGGACACGCTAAGTATCCTAGCCACATCCTTCAGTGCTAGGGAATGTTGAGTATCCCAGCACTTCCTTCACTCACTCTTTGGTCTTAGTGCTAGGACACTGCGTATCCTAGCCACATTCTTCACACACTTTTTTAGTTTCAGTGCTAGGGAATGCTGAGTATCCTAGCACTTCCTTCACTCACTTTTTGTTCTAGTGCTAGGACACTGCGTATCCTAGTCACTGCCTTCACCCAGTTAGCTTATTCATATCTGAACTGTCTCCAGCTACTTATCAAGCTACGACACACAACAAAATAAATGTAAAAGCAGATTTTTTAGACCAGAAATCACAACTGCTTAAATCCTTCATATATCGTTCCTGCTACATTGCATCAGCAGCCAGGTGGACGGAAGACAAGTTAGCCAGACTCACGACATAGAAATCATAGTAACACAACTACAAACAAACCAGGAGTTTTACGACTCACTCGCCGTTGGTTCAAACCCCAACCGCTCCGTGTTTTACTTTTATTTTAGCCAGACTCGGTTCAGTTTCATATTTCCCACACGTATCATTTATTTTTGTTTGGCAACATCTGGAGGGCACCAATAACAACACGTTAAAAGCTAGCTGCTTACTTCAGCATAAGTGACTGTGTCACCAACATGACAGCTGCCTACATATCCTAAGACAGTGGCTTCCAATTAGACGGCAAAGAACATGGTCCCGGAAGGTTATTCTACGTCATTGCTCGAGATTGTAGACCATTACGTTGTGTAGCTAACTAACTAGGCTGACGCAGAATCAGCATCTCTAGCAAGACATGCATTGAAATTTAATTACCCTTTTTTTCAGTGCTAAATTTTGTCGAAGGATTTAGAAGCGTGATTAAATGTGGCCATAACATTTCTTCCTCACATTGCATAGTAAATAAATATAACTGGATAAGAAACTCTCAAGCGAAGTAGCTGAGGTTCTCCTGGCAAGCAATTAAAAAATAACATTTTAAACATGTGTAATATAAAGTCGAAAGATATCATTTAGAATTTCATAACTACTGTACTGAGAATTATTGTCCTATAATTATTAATAATAGATAAGGATATTATAATGTTCAATGGGGGAGAATTAGTAATTGAAAAATGTAGTGATGAATACTTATTAAGTTTCGATGCTTTATGAAGGGAATTACTGAACACATTAGAGACGTTATTAATACACAAATAACCCGCACACAGGAGAGAGAGGAGCTTACGACGACGTTTCGGCCCGAGGCAGTAGGAAAGGAGGAAGAGAGGTAGTGACAGAGGTAGTAATAGCAGTAATAGTGGAGTCAGTCAAAGACTAAGAAAGAGGAGCACTGCAAAGGGTAGGAACAAGAACACAGAGGGGGTAAAATAATAATAATGTACGAAATTCCCAAGGCAGAAGAAAGAAAGCCCAAAGAAGAAAGAGGAAAGGGGAAAAGGAAGAAAGGAAAAAAAAAGAATCGGGTTATGTCACGGGTGTTCTGAAGTTTGGAGTATTTTACGATGTAATGGGAAAGGAAGGCATCTACAGAGACAAAGCAGGACTAAGATTCATACAAGGAAAGTTGTGGATAAGGAAAGATTCAACCAGACAGTTTTAGCAGATCAGTCAGTGAGATGACCGTGATCTCTGACATGACAGAAAAGAGCATTGTTGGTGTCGGCAAGCCTAACACTACTTTTGTGCTCTCTGAGTCTGTCAGAAAGAGATCGGCCAGTTTCTCCAAAGTGCTGAAGAGGACAGGAGGAACAAGAAATAGAGTAGACACCTGGAGCATCTTTCTTATGTGTTATACTTACCTAACCCATATGTAACCAATGTTGTTTTCTTTATTATCAGTCCTGTTGCTGGCCTGGTCAACCAGGGTAGACGCTAGTTAATTGGAGCAAGATCCCTGTCTACAAGACGTAGTGAGACATTACGACTCCTCACCTCTGAAATCTGAATTGTGGTGCTATAACCAAGTAGTAACATGATTTTCAGAATATCGGACGAACACCGCCACCCAGGATAACCAACACCCTTTCTTCAAAACATTCGAAGACCATCCTTGGCATTATATACTCCTGTTCCAACATCATAGTGGAACCACAGCGGCCAATTTTTATTTATTTATTTTTAATTAAAATCCTTAGAAAATTCTGTTATTTTTCCTCAAGTCATTCACTTATCTATTTTTCCATTCTTTTGTTAAGGCGAAAGAAGTTCCCCTGACAATAATTAAACGGGAAATAAACACCTTATATTGTGTACTTGATAGTAGAATCTATCAGTAGTGTTGTGGATGCAAATTCCTAGTACGGATTGCGACTTGAATGATCATCGGGTAGTTGACAGGGAATAAACCTAAAATAAATTTAAGTCCAGTCCAAGTAGAAGAGGAGAAAAGACGACGCAACCTTGAGATATACCAGTCATGGTCACTAAGAAAACTTCCCACCCTAGCGGTCCAGCAGACTACACTGGCAGGGCAGCTAGGCTAAAGGCCGTGATAATGGTATTTTCATGTTGCTCTTATTTTACGTTCTTTCGAAGGCAAGATATAAAGGTTAGGTAAAGTTCGTCAGGAAAAGGGACAAGTGTTTCCTAACGCAGGTCTTGGTAAGATGATGACCCACCGTTGGAGTTTTTGGTCATCTGCTCGAGGTCTTCCGCTGGCTTATCGGCCCACCCCTTCAAAAATTATGGTCAGTTATCATTTCTGTAATCAAGGATATAGAGCTTCCCTATTTTTTCCTTGTAGCTAAGCCCTCTCATCTCAGGAGCCCATCGTGAAGAATATTTGATTTTCTTGAGTATTCCTTTCTGCTTCACTGGATGAGTGTTTCACACTGTCACTGAATATACTGGCAGCATATACTGTAGGTGTCTTTTCGTAAATATTTCTTAGTTATTTCTATGTATGCCAGCCTAACGTGTGGCGCCAATTAATTCTGTTTAAAGGAGCTTCAGGAGACAAATGTAATTGTTACTCCAAGATCATTTTCCTTGTCTGCTGCCGTGAGTTATCGTTCCACACCACAAGGTGATAATCCACCTCTGGTACCCCTTTTCTCCAGATCCCACTTTTATTACTATATTTTTGTGATCAACATGTGGAAACAAAACCTGTAGCTATCATGCAGTGCATGGGGAATGAGAAGTAATCAGGTTTGTTCCGAGGAAGGGATGGGAAGGATAACTTCTATTCCTTGAAGCAAGAGCCCTTCACAGACATCAAGGCACTTATCCCCTTCAAGCGATTTCATTAATATGCACTACGTAGAGTTAAATTCTAGTAATCACTCGCTCGACTAGTTTTGCATTCTGGTCAGGCCTTTTTTTTTTTTTTTTTTTTTAACCACGTGCCGGCGTTCTCTTCACATATCATCCTCATAAATTGGGCATCATTTGCGAATTTAGATGAGGAGTCCACTCGATGGGTAAGTTATTAACATTATGTAGCCCAACACCACACTCTGAGGGACATCACTAGTTGTTTCAGGACATCCTAGTACTTCCTCCACTCACGGGGCTTCTTCGTCTCACCTTCAGGAATTTCTTATTGAGTGTTAGTAAGTTGCTTGTTACCCCAGATTGCGTCTTTGGCTTGTGGAGTAGTCTTGTGTGTCGTATGCCACCAAAGACTTCCAAAACTTTCAGCACCATTCTCCATTACACTACCAATTCAACTTCTTGTTGCGAAATTCTAAAAAAGCAGAAGTAGTTTGGAAAGTTTAGTTCTTCTGTAAATTATTTCACCATCTAGTAGTTGCCTCATTCGCTTTCGATATTTCATTGCTTTCCATTTCAATTGAATGTATGGAATTTATCTGTTACATCTAAGGTGTCCCCTTCTGTAAACACTCTGCAACTTCATGTTTATTACCTAAAACATTTTCTCTGCCACTTTATTGGTGTTGTTGTATTGATTTTTTGTATTATATCTTTCATAATTAGTAAACATGTTTTTTACAAACTTCAATAAAATATTTAGTCCCATCATGCCCTTTTCAGTGTATTTTTCATCCTTTGTTCTAATATTTGTATACTAATTTATAGCTTGTTTAGTCACTGGCAAATTTCTAGGTTGACATGTTATCTGTATTGGTTCTAGGACCTCTCCCTCTTTTTCAAGGCTCTCCATCACCTTCTGTTAAAACCTTCTAAACTGTGTCGTTTTCTTGCCCTATTTATAGATTAAGATGGATTTCATTTTCGTATATGTTACAGAACTCTTGTTAATTGAGCAGGTTAGTTGTAGCTCAACTTTCCCCATCCTTACCATATATTTCAGTTCTTTTGTTCTTTTATTCCTCACTGACGTAATCGATCCATATTGTGATCTCACTGATTTCTC